AGCTCGGAGGACGGTTTGGAAAGCAGGTTGGGGCACAGGGGGCTCTCATGGACACTTCAGGGCTTTGCTCTTTTTCTTACCCCTTTTGTAGACTCTCTGATAGCAAGGAAAATCTTAAAATGTACTTGTTTACAGTAAACCCTAAAAATAAAGCCACATCTAAAAATTACAGCGTGCAGTAGAAGCATTAGTTTTCTGTAGGGGTGTTTTTGAATAATTGCTTAACAATTTTTTTTCTTTGCAGAAATAGTAGAATTTCAAAACATAGTGGGTACCTTAATTGAACTTGTTGATCAACTGGCAAAAGCTGCTGAAAGTGAGAAGATGAAGGTACTGTGCCTTTAGTTACTGGCTTGTCATGTACTCTGCTCTGTACTGTGCATGAAAAAACAGATCTCTCTCCCTTCCTCCTTTTACTACGTAAGCAATCTTTTCCTGTCAGTATCACACAGGCATTTCCGTGGTAGTTAACATCTGTCTGTCTGCAGTATGAAAGCATGGGCCTTTTTAATTGATATTAGCATCTAGAAGACTTTCACAGGCACGCTCAGAGTGTCACATTATTCCTGTGTTTAAGAGTCCTAGTGTTTCTGCTTGTTTATATATTTGCACGTAAATAGAACATGTATTTTTTAATCGCTCCTCCTACTAGTAGAGCTTTGTCCTCAAGAGGCAGGAGAGGCTCTGTGAGGAGGAGGAGAAGGGCTTTCTGAAGACCAGATCAGTGAATAGTTCTATAACTACCTTTGAAATTTCCTTGTCTATGTGTCACCAAGCGGTCTGGCTTTTTTCCATGTTATTGTGGAAATAGAAATTAATGTTTAGCATAATTGTAGGTAATTACTTTTTTCTTTCTTTGTTGTGGGGAAAAAAAAAACTATAACCAGAGCTTGTCTATCTGTAGGAGCAGTCACCAGTGATGAGTTTGTGTTTCCGGAGGAGTCAGTGACTTTTGTTCCTTGAGTTTGAAGGAAGTCTTAAATGCCTTAATCTGCCCAACCTCTACAGGGACCGTTTGTTTGCTCTACCAACCATTCAGTAGTTTGCTCTACCAACCCTCCTTTATTGTTAGCATGGCTGAAAAACTTCAAAATCAACATAATAGTAGTGAACGGGGCTAAAAAAAAAATCTCAATACAACTACATCACCAACCATCCTCTTTTGACAGGCCATCGGTGCACGAAATTTGCTGAAGTCTATAGCAAAGCAAAGAGAAGCTCAGGAACAGCAACTTCAGGCCTTAGTAGCTGAGAAAAAGATGCAGCTGGAACGGTAAGCTTTCTGTTAAATACTTTTGGGGCATTATGTAGGCCGGAAAGTCAATCTCACCATCTGTGCTTGGCTGCAGGACACTGTCTGAGCTTGTTCAGACAGTCCATCTGCAGTGAAGGTGCGTCCTCCTGCAGAAAGCACACATGGAATGATGCAGGGCCACAGCCTAGAGTTAACTTAAGGCCCTACCTGCCACTCACCAAAAGAAGGTTCATCTCTGATGTCTTTGTGGCTAAATAAACAGAGGCAGCATGAGATCAGTTGAAGAAATGAATAAAACTGTAATGGCGTGTCCCGTGTCTGACTTGTAAAGGCACTATGGAACTGCAAAATCTAACCCGTGCAGCACTGCTTTACAGATGACTTACACGCGTAGCCTAACTTCCCTTCACCACAGACCAGTGGACGTTGCGCTAAACCATCTGACGAGCACGGGCTGGATGTAGCTGGTAACCTTTTTTTTTTTTTTTTCCAGATACCGAATAGAGTACGAGACTCTGTGTAAAATTGAAGCAGACCAGAACGAATTCATTGACCAATTCATTTTTCAGAAATAGAGGATTTTAAGATAAAAACTAACTTGGAAACTTGACCATTCCAGAATCTTGAGAATTTCAAAAATATGCAATTTTTCACTGTGTATGAATGAAGAGATGGTTTGTACAAATGGAAGCGTCTTCTAATTCGGTGTGGATTACACTAAAAGTGGCAATAAGGAGGGCTTTCTAACAGATGTAAAGACTGTTCTGTCCTTTGATTTTTATAAAAGTTTTGTACAGTCAGTAGTTCTAATTCAAATTATAGTTGAATTAATACTATTGTTGCTATGTTATGTCTCTCACTTTTTGAATTGTACAGCTCTTTCATAGAAATCAGGAAATAAATTATTGTTTTCAGACTTTCTGGATATACCAGAATTAGTTGCTTCTGCTATGTTATTTTCGAGCTGAGGAGTTTACAACTCCCTGGATAGTCATAATGGTTTTCCTCTATGTAGTATTTTTCATGTCTGTAAAGACGTAACACACAAGCCACAGTAACTTTTCTCTATATTGACCAGATTATTTTTTCTATACAGTTAGGAAAAAACAGAAATTTATGATAAACAGAATGGATCAATTACACACACACACACACAAAAAAGCAGAAAATACGGCAGAATTAAGGACTTTAAACCATGCCTGAGATATGTCCATACAGGGAGTAATATTAGAGTTTAATTCTTTCATGGGCATTATTAGAGATAGAACTGCAAACTGATGAGACATTCTAAGCATACAGTGACACCAGGAGCGTACAGAAACTATATAAATATGAATGTGACACTTAAAAACTGAATGTCTGTGATCTAAAAATCAAGCCTCGTGTTGAAGTGTAAATAGATGCATTTTATGTCTGCCTTTAGGCAACCAAATATGGAAATGTTGGCCTTTCCAAAGTCTGTGGAAGGTTTACATTTTATACCAGTGAAGTCCTGAAATACATAGGCAGTGACTGAAAAGCCTTTTCGGTGACCTGTAATCTTATACAAGTCTCCAAGTTTGATTCTTGCAAGTCAGATTGAGAACTTACAAAAAAACCCCAACAAACCAACCAACCACCCCAGAACTTCTATCAGCAGTAGGTTTTATTTACTGTAATTTATGCATATATTTACTGTGTGAACTACCTACAATCTCATGGTCCTTTTAAGTTCCTTTTAGTCATTCCCTTAAGAAGATTAAATGCAGTTTAATGCATTTAGTTATTTATTGCCATACTAGAAGTGATTTCATGGAAGAGAGAAATTTACAAATCCTTGTTTACAATTCCTGAAGTACATCAAAATCCTCTCAGAAGTATGCCTCATTGTCAAACGAAGTTAACTTTCAGCATTCATAAATCCAGATTTTGGCACATTGATCACTGACCAGATATTTGCAATTAATCAAAACTGAAGCAAAGGAAGGTGAAATTTTAAAGGAAGAGGTGGGGAAGTTAAGACTTATTAGATGATTTGAAATGTTTCAAAAGCATAGCTTTGCAAAGCTGTATATAATCAGTTATCGATTTTTCAGAATATGATCTTGGAAGACAAATTTCTTACTTTAGTGGTTTTCTAACAGTCATGTTGGAAAAAGGGAACTTGAAAGAAAAGTATCGGCTGTAGTTCCCCCCTCATCACACAGTTACACAGCAAATGGTTAAAAGTTCATTTTCCTGTTACAGATTACCACACAAATCGGCAGTGGGAGAGGAGCGCGGTCCCTTCACCGGCGCGTGCCCAGGAGCCACACGGAATGGCTCGTACAGGCTTCTGCCACAGCTGTGTCTGACAATGAGAGCTGTGAACTCAAACCAAACCAAATTTTTTCTTGCAGGAGGCAGATGCTCTGGCAGTAGCCGTTGCAGCCACCGCCACCAGGCAGATGTTTGTCCCAGAGGACTACGACAGCATAGGGTCTGAATCAAAACCAGTGTGACTGTTGTGCGTACAGCTTTTAGAGCGGACTACTTCCTTTTCCTTTTTTCCACCTGGTTATAATGGGGGTTGTAGAGCATGGTAAAAAGAATCAGAAGTGGTATCAGCAGGTACGGCACATATATAGATAGCAGAATTAGGCGCTCACGTTGCGTCTGAGGTCCCAAATGCTCAGACTTTGAGAAATCATGGAACAGGATATGCGCCAGGATAGCAAACAAAGTGGTAGCTACATGGGTGGAGTAGATAATTGCAGGAGTCCTTATCCATTTGCAGCCACCTGTACAGAAGCAAAAAGGGAGCAGTATTTAAGTGTTTTGAAACAAGCAGAGTTCCGTGGCATTTAAATTCACATTAACCACTGTATCTCTGAGAGGATAAGCCATAAGGCATATTAAATAGGTAGCAGAAGAAACCATAGGAACTAGTAGCAACCCATGAAAGTTATCTACCGTTATGTAAATTTAGAACGATGGTGTGATTGTGAAGGTTTTAAGGTAACAAAATGAGTAGAGAGGCTTGACCCAGAACTTTATCTACCTTGGAAGCATGCCAGATGTCAAAAGCTGATGCTGGTTACATATAAATGGCTGCAGGGGACACAGGCCAATAGTCACGGCTTTGTTTCTGACAGGGCTTACTCTGTGCTGCTTTCTCAGATGAAACTTGCCATGAAAATCGCACAGCACTCCCCATGGTATGTCCCTCTAATTGCTTCAGACTGATAAATAAACTTTCTCTGCTGTACAAAAAGCAGGCGTTACGCAGAAATGCTGCACAGGAAATATTCTTACGCTTGTTTTATACCAACCTTTTAAGAAGGCGTATACTGCAACGGGGAAGAAAGGCATTTGTAAGAAGGCTTCACAATATATAAACGCCATAAACCACTCTGGGGGCTGGAGCATCATGGGGTCTCTAAAGGTGGTCGCATACCACTGCAACAGCTCTGACAGCTTAAAAAAAAAAGAACCAACCAACAGATTAATACACTGAACGTCAACCGCAACAGGGCAGAAGTTGTGACCCTCACCTGGCGGTCAGATGAAACCATCACTGCAGCGGGAAACTCAAGTGATCTCATCTTGGTACGCAAGGCTCTATACTGCAATTTAGTTTTAATAGGGACTACATTTCTGAAGTCTTTAAAGCGATGAACCCTTTCCATTAAGTATACATTAAATTTGCACTACAGGCAATTTTAGGATTACTACAGCATTAAGTAACAGTTGCTTTCCAAAAACCATTCCCGAAATGTCATTTCCTACCAGAAAAAACCCAAACCACCAAAAATCTGCACTTTGACGTTAGGTAGATACTATTTTCCTCTTTCTGACCCCCCTGTTGCCAGCGATGTCACCAACACGTGCGGGCACTTGCCATATCTGACCAGGAGGTGCGACCCCGGCCGTGTCTCGCCAAGCCAAGGGGCGGCTGGGGCCCCGTTCCGTCAGGGAGCGCATCACTCCATCTGGATGTCCGTGGCTGGCTGCTGCGGCTCAAACAGCGCCGTGGGAGAATTTTGGCTGAGGGAGTTGCAAGTAGTTTCCATGACAGAAGCGTAAATTCCAGCATGGTTTTAAGTTGGACTTTGAACGGAGAGATATGTATTGAGATTTGCTAGTTAACTATTAATTAAAAATGGTTTCTATAATGGAGTAATTCTACAGGCAATTCTAATGACAAAAATCAAATTCATTAAGTGTAAAGCACGTATAGGAAGTTACAGCCGATCTCACCCTGATGATGACAGCTGAATTCATTATCTTCTATCCAACTATTATTTTAATTGACTCTGATGTTTATTGTCTTGTACAATTTCATTCAAAGCCCAGCAAACCAGAGAGCTTTACTAATACCTTTGGTTGCTACTCTGCCCGCTTCTACAGCGGTAACAATTCCCTTTTACGTTTTTGGCAGGAGTACGAGCAAAAATCAGGATCAGAGGGTGACCGGGGCAGTGAGAGCCCCAGCGGGAGCAGGCGGCGGGCAGGGATGCTGCCAGCGTCGTGAGGGGCTCCGTGGGGGGGGGGGGGGGGGCAGCAAAAAAAAACCAACCGCTGTGGGCGTCGCCACTTCGCCTTCCTCTACCTGCAAAATGCACAACGTACCGTACCGGGGAAATTACCACCCACACCATCGGTTAATTCCTCTGGGACTTTTCTTGCGTGCCCTGGGACTGTGGGCACTTAGACTGAAGGGAGCAGCCCGCGTGCATCCCAGTTACAAATTTAAAAAAAACAGATCAGTCACAGCTGCTAAAGGTGCTGGCAAACACCCACATTTATCCTCCTTCCCAAATGAACGGCTTGACTAAAAATGTAAGTCATCCTGCAGGTAGCAAGGATTGAATGAAATACTATTTCATTTTAGGGAGTTTACTGCATTTTTTTTTTCTTCCCCCCCTACGTT